TGGTGGAAGCGTTTCCCTATTGAACACTTTAGTTCTAATTATGTTCGGGAGAAAAACGTATTGAAAGTTAGTTCGTATCAAAAAAAACCTGGACTTTAATATGATTCCGTCTCGTTTTTCTATGGTGACGAGACGAAATAACGATAATGCATTTATAGATGTGGGCTTACTCAGTCGACACAATGACACATAATCATTCCTTTATCTGCGATAGGATCTTTCTCGGCTTTTTACTGGACGCTAGCGACTGGGCACGTCACTGTGCCTCTCCAGACAACCTGCATTGACCTTCTTGTTATAGAGAGAAAACCCGATTTTTTCAATATCTTTCGTGAAGCAGGCCATGTTACATGCTGTCATTAGTTAAGTTACAACTTTTTTATTATATGTTAGCGTATGTATACCAGCGACGTGAGTTTATTTACAACAATATAGAATATAGACAATCGAAACGTTCATGCAAAATGATCGCAATTTAGAATGAATACGAAATGTGGAATAGGTTACCGTAGAGCTTCACTATTATGGCTAAGCGAAGATATCTTCAAGTCTGTATTCATGCTTCGTACCGAGAACTGATATAATTGCCTGTCAAGTATTTTATCATTTTTCGTACACTATCAACGTAATAGCTCCATCATAACAACGTAACGACTTGAATAAGCTACAACGTTTCGTCGCTGCAGTTCTTTCAAAACTCAAGTGTTTACTTTTACATCATACGTTCTCTTTTTGTCTACGGCACGGCGACTGGTCTTCCCGGGCAAACCTGATCGTGCATCGAGTAAATCATTTGTGCACACTGCACTTTCCTTCTATTTTAAGCGGAAAAAAAAAGAGAAAAAAGCAACACTGTCTTCACAGAAAGAAGAAGCTATTTCAGAAGGGCGTGCCTTCCCAACTAGAATATGTAGTATGAATCGTCTCGTTCCCTTTTATTCTTATAGAGTCAAAAGCTGAAACGCCCGACCGTTTGGTCTCTAGGAGGACCAGCGGCTAGCACTTGTTGACCATTGGTTACTATAGAGACGCCTCGACGGGGAAGAGGTTGTATGTGGTCAACAGAGCCCCAAGAACTGCCACATATCGCCTCTACAATGCGATCCCCTGTGAGTCAGCTTTGTAGCTTGCGAATCGTTCAATAAATCGATGCGATCAGCATTCATGTTGAGAGAGAAGCCGAAGGCCGAGCAGTTGAAATAGCAGGGTTTCGTTGGTTGTGAATGACAGTTAGTGGGCCTGCGGACCAATCGCCAATTTCTCAGACTTAGATCAGATCCTGGGTCACTAGCGACCAATTTTCAGTGGCAAATCATCATTGTTAGTAACCGATGACAGTGGGTCCCGGCACAGCACCGAACGTGGGCCGGAGCACAGCAATCACCAAATTCCAAAAGCGGAACAAGCCTGAGCCGCTGGCGTTCAATCAGGTCCTGTTTGTTTATCCTGTGTAGTCCTTACAGTCGTACGGCCAATCAAATCAGCTTCGACCCTCTCTATGTCCACTGAATAACAAGGCTTCGCGTATTCAACGCTACTACTGGACGCAGAAAACTACCAAGATGTCAACTCGAAAATGCCCATTTGTGTGTCAACGTTATCGCGATGGGCCTCGCCGTATAGCAAGAGCGTATCTACATGCAGCATGCATACCTTCGATGATGGGGCACATTCTGCTCGGTTTCTGCGTATGGGCCAGAAACTATCACGACACGCGATCAAACCTGACGAAAAGCGCGAAAAGAGTTTAAAGTTTGAGCTCTGTTTGTGCTTGAAGAAACAGCAATCGACAACCCTTTAAGAGTAAATGTTTACGATGGGTTGGTCTGGCTATAGGATTTCGAAATATTTAGTAAATTTAGAAGGAACAGACAGTGAAGATATACACAGACACAGGCTCGCATAAGTTCCGATATAATTCGCGAAAGAGGATGGCAAAAACGGATGCCTAAACAGTGTGTGTGCATGTCTATGTGTGTATGTGTATCGCTCGGGTTGATATATCTAGGGACAAGGGTATGAGCAGATCAATCTTTGATAACCGCTTATAGTTGTAGTGTGTGGAAGTCCCCACGGGCCTTACAATGGCGGGAGCTGTACATGTATGAGGGTGTTAATTCTGAACATTGTGGGACTAGCCTACTTAGGTCCTCCCGATTCCAAATCGATCGAACCTCGTACGCAGTCCAGCCCGGTGCGAGAATAACAGACGTCAATACCGTCAGGAGATGTATGTACACATACATAATCTAATATATACACTATAGGACTACTACCGTGGTACAGTAGAACAATGTAGAGATAGAAAAACTGAATTATCCCTTAGGTCTGAAGATAATGTTGAATACAATATCGAGCGTGAATCTGTTGGTGTAATCGTTCTCCTTAGGACGGTACCTGCTTGGTTCGAGCTTTCTTTTATTAGCGTGGATACCATATGTAAGGATAGAGGTAATAGCTTTTTTGATCATAGAAATACTATGGTTATGGACTGCTGGGTGCGTTCAAGGCGCGCTTGATCTTTGCTCAGCTAAAAGCTTGGTCATATGTAAAGGACCGAGTCTGGAAAATTGTGTCGAAAAGAGGTTAGCGAAACAATAACAACACACAGTTCCTGCAGGTAGCGCTAATCGTGCATTTTATGACTACATCAAAGTATTGCCAAACTCAAATGGTATTTTCTTACACACTGGCGTAAATCTGTCAATCTTTAATCATAGACAGAACAGCGCTACGTATGTGAAGATCAAGGCAATAATTAGACCAACGACACCGAGGTACGAGCGTTGCAATCGTTAGACTGGCACGTTCTGCTATTATCTTTTTTAAATATCAGTTCTGTTTTAAAAAAATGCTGTTTCAACTATATCAATCGTGGGGGACTCATTCTCGATTTTAGTTTTATCGGGAACATAGACAACTAATTATCCCTTAACTTATCTACCCTTTGTTTATTTCTGTATGTTATTTGAATCTGACTACTGCTTTTGATAATTTATCTGAGGAAGCCTATGTTTTTATTCGGTTATTTCCCGTGGATAAATTACGCTGTGGCTTTGGAAAACTCATTCTCAACACATTCTGAGAATGGATTGTAATTTTCGAAAAGAGCTATTGTAATATTTCTTAGGAGTTACTTTTTATCATCAAAAGCTCATCGAGTGTCACAACGTACGTATAGGACGTTTCTTGTATCTTACGATGTACAATATATTGAAAATGTCAGTAATTAAAATTGGCGTAAAGATTTCACAAGTTTTTCTGTACGAATAATTAAAACTCAAATAACTAGAATGTTCAAGGTTTATACAAGTTATGAACAGAATTAATTATAGTCAGACGGAAAAGTTTTTCGTTTTGACAGAGCTATATTTACACCCCTTTTACAAGATGTAAATTACATATACATATAAGTTTTAAGGCATTTGGGAATAACTTAGATCTCTACTACCCTGTCCTTGTGACAGCTTAGCATGTAACGTATTTGCCTGCTGATTTTAGGGACACATTATGGTCTAGTTTCGAATCTCGACATCTTTGTACCAGGAGTGGGCCGTCTATCTTAATGAACGTATAACTTGAAATATAGTGGTCTTGGCCACTAGAGCTTGCAAAAACGAAAATCGCAGAAAATTTAACTGTGAAGATAGCTAAGAGGTTAACGTGCTTGAAAAAACACAATATTTGTCCTAACCTACGACGAGATTGGGAACGAAATATTAGGTACATTGAAACGAAAATAAGATGTGGGTCTGGTCGCTGATACAGCGGTGTAACCTATTAAAAGGTCCTACATTTCAGATTCACTTCAACAATGTGCTGTTCGCCTTGGGTAGTGTGTGCTCATTCCAGGATATTGGAATCGAGTAGCTAATGTTTTGTGCAAGTTATTCGTCTCCCAATACGAGATCCCGTTTATCTTTTAGCTAAGTTACAAAGTGCCCTAACCCAATATTATCTAACAATATAATATTGTCTTATGAGTTGTCAGAAGCTGACATTACCCGCACTGACTTTTCTCAAATGATATTTTTACACTCATATACTATATCTACTATTTACTCTGCTAATATTTATGCGATATAAAGCATATTTATTTTCAGAAACAGCGCAATAAAAATGCCAAAAAGCAGAGATGAAGTAATAAACCAAAAATAAAAGGGGTTCTTTAGCACTCGGCGCGCGTCTGTCTTTCAGTGTGCTGTTTTGGCTCTAAAATTAGTTATTAAACCTTTGCAAATAAGCTGAATTTCCTTACCATATAGTCATATGATTTATATATAGCGCTGCCATATAGTTTTTAGATTTTCTCCTACGTTTTAATTGTCATTAGTACCGCACTTAATGACGCCAAATGTTAATCATAATTTGACGTCCGCAGTAAATAAAGCATGGCGAAAAAGAAACATATCCTTTATTTTATTTCGTTCCGATTTTTACAGGTACTTAGTTTAGTCCGTATATGTTTTGCGTTTGTTTTTATAAAGCTTACAACTTTATATATCTACAAACAAATCATATGCTTTGTGTCAGTCTAATAATAATGAATGAACGTCATCTTAATAGTTGTAAAAATATGTAGCGTTAGAATTGTAATAAATGGCCATGATAAACAAAAAACCTTGGTCGACAAGCATCACCCAAGCATGAATGCGCTATCGAACTATAAGAATCAGTGGTGAACGGCGTGGCGGACTTGCAGTACCAACAGAGAACGAAAAGTCTCACTATCCAGAATCAAATTCAGTACTCTCATCTGAGACTGCATCCTCCCACACGATTGACTACTCCTCGATGCCAGCCACGATCTCATCCATCCGCCATACATTCCGAACGCGAATCATGTGGTTCACATTAGAGAAGCAACCAGATCTGAAAGGGTGGACGGATTGCGGCACCGCTCGCAGGAACACGAGCCAACATGACGGTCGATGGTTATTGTGGAGTGCCGAGTGCGACTCACGTTCGTATATGGCAAGGGTGCTAACAGATATATAAAAGCATCCGTGACGTTATTTCCGATGGTCGACGTCAATCGGTCCGTGTGAGAAGACTCTAAGAGGTCTTGAAAGAGGACGACGACGTAAGGGGCGGCTACGTCGTCGGAGCCCTGACGGAAGATGGCGTGGCGCGTTAGCGGCTGCCATCTTCTTTGGCTCGTGATCGCCACTGCCGCATTCTATACGGCTCTTGCCGCACCGCAGGGTACAGACAGACTTTTAAAGGCAAATTATCGCTAGAAAGTATAAATCTTTAGCGTTCTTGGCGTCTGATATCTGATCTCCTTACATAGGCATTTTGTGTGTGTGCATAAGAAACCATTTTGCCCTGTCGTTAGATCGGCACTGTTATACTGTGAGACCGTGTTGTTTCTATTGTGTTTAACGTGTGTGTGTGTCTAACGAATTTTCCAATTTTGTCCAATGGAAACAACAACAAATTGTCCTTCTATACATAATTACACCTAAGTGATTGTATATGTATGACGCGTTTTTTTTTCGAACGATAGTTTGGTTTCGATGACAACGCATTAACCATTTCAGGAGCGGATGAGGAGGAGTACGCAGAGTATGATGAGGCCGAAACGTCGCTACCTGAAGAACATTCCGGCACCGTCGAGTCTGAACCGGGTATCGAAATGTGTCTCTGGAACGGCGAAACCTTCGTCGATGGACAGGAGTGGCGGCCCGATCTGTGTACCGTGTGCCGTTGCATAGCTGGACAACAAGTATGCAGTCCTCAGGAATGTCCGAAATTGCCCCCGTGTAGAGGGCGTACCATTGTGCCACAGGGCGAATGCTGTCCCATCTGTATCGAAGATCCAGAACCTACATCGGAGCCTCCTCCTGTCACGGAGGAAATAGCTTACGTTGGTCCACGTGGACCCCCGGGAGAGCCTGGCATCCCCGGACGGCCCGGTGAACAAGGAACACCTGGAGAACCCGGCTTTCATGGGCAGCCTGGATTACCTGGTCCGCCTGGTCCCGTTCCGGATGTGAGTTTTATCATCTATTTGGTCTATGACTACTTGCCACCATGTAAAGGATAAACAGTATCATTTAGTTGGACAAGTGAATCTATTACAATGCGTCGAAGAAATGATACAATTGCTTAAATTACAGACTTCGTAACCTCTCGGCCATTTAGAGATCTTTTCATTTTTAGCATTCATCAACCCAGCGTTACAATCGAATTTTTTATGCGCAAACGTATCCAGGTAGTTCGCTACAGATCCCAAAGAAACGTCGAAATATCAGTACAGTATACATTTAAATTATAAATAACGTATATAAATAGATAGTCTGTATAAATAATAAAATACGCCGCAAATACTGATTATTGCGCTCTGTTATTAGCTCGGCAAATGGTTTACAGAGCAACGTGCGCTGTCTGGAGCCACCGGAGAAAAAGGACCCGTTGACTTCCAGTATATGCAAGCCTCAGTAGGACCCACAGGCCCCAGGGGACCTACGGGTCCACCTGGTCCACCTGGGCCTCAAGGCTTTCAAGGAGTGCGTGGTGAGCCAGGTGAGCCAGGCCCACCGGGATCCACGGGACCTCCCGGAGAAAGGGGTCCTGCAGGACCTACTGGCAAAGACGTAAGGAAACTCAGGCTAAGCCAGATAAGATTTCTAATTTGAGAGACATACAGTCTGTGTGGTGATAACGTAGGAGCTTAGTAGATCTTTAAATTACCTCAAAAAAAAGTGAATCATAATGCTGCTGTAACAGGACATAGTAAAGTCTTGATGCTTGTTTTTTAACGACAGCTAACTGAGTGGTGATTCAATTTTCTATCAAACATTTATATATATAAATTAGTGTAGTTTTTTATGTTCAACTAAAACTTACTGCAAGCATACTTTGACTAAGTATCTTATTGTGATAAATTAATTCATAGGGAGAAGCTGGTGAAGACGGCAAACCTGGCGCTCAGGGTCCTCCCGGAACTCAGGGCCCAAGAGGTTTACCAGGATTACCAGGACTTCCGGGACCCAAAGGCCATCGCGGCTATCCTGGGCTTGACGGGCAAAAAGGAGAACTCGGAGCGACGGGTGAAAAGGGATCACCCGGACCTCAAGGCAAAATTGGACCGGTCGGACCTATTGTAAGTCTTCGCTCATAACGATTACTTTTGAGATAATATCGACAAACCGCAGTTTGGCTGACTATACCAATTATATCATGAACCCTTTTTAGAAAAGTAATTTAAATGAGTTAAGCAGAACACCTCATACCTAAAAAGAGATTGATGGAAAAAACTGGTCATTATCGTAGTGTACTAAACAAAAGATACGGCCTGGGCCGTATCTAAGCAAATTTACACTGTTGGGCTTCTAAAATTTTTTAATAATTTTGAAAAATTAGTTCACTAATCAATCTTTTGCGCACATAAGGCTTCCTGCTTGCACTACGCAGCCCGTGAAGGATTGATGCTTGTTGTTTAACTGTAGTGGTTATAGAAATAATTCCGGTAGAGTGCTTATACATTAAGAAGTACAATTGATAAATTTCTAGTTTCGCGCAAAGTTAACCTGTCTTGGACGTGGTAAGGGACAGTAGTATCGTTACCTACTCGAGGATTTTAGGCACTGCGTCAACTGTTTCGATCTAGCAGGCTCAACGAGCTTTTTGTATCAAAGACCGACGTTTTCTTCTTTGTTAGTTCATACAGTAAGGTCGATAGTGCGAGGGTTTTAAGATCTATAAAATGTCTGCTTGCATTAGTGGCTTATCTGCACGTTTACATATTATAGGGCCCAGCTGGAATTCGTGGAGAGCGTGGGCGAGAAGGTCCGGCAGGTCCTCCAGGAATTCGTGGCACGGACGGCCAAATGGGCCCACCTGGTCCACCAGGCTCAGCAGGCCGACCAGGACCACCTGGTTTTCCTGGAGCTCCAGGAATGAAAGGAGATGCGGGAGCTCAAGGTCCTAAAGGAAGCACTGGACTTCAAGGACCACGGGGAGAGTCTGGCCGACCAGGAACTCCCGGAGAACCTGGACCAATGGTATGACATAAAGCACTGTCGGTACAAAAGCATTCATGTAAATTTTAACAAAAGCTCTTCTGTTTTTTAGGTGCCTGAATCAATGTGTCCTAGGTCAATCTGTAACTATTATAAGCTGCATAAAACATACATCTGCAACAATATATTTCATTTTAACACAGGGTCCAACTGGAAAGGATGGTTCAGCTGGTGAGAAGGGTGCTCGCGGTGATTCTGGAGTAGCAGGTGTACCCGGATTCCCTGGGCCACGAGGACCGCCAGGTTTGTCAGGAAGTCCTGGCGTACCTGGACCGAAAGGAGCCCCTGGCCAGCCAGGCCAATCAGGCCACAAGGGTGAATCAGGACCAAAAGGAGAAACAGGAGCAACTGGCCCACGAGGATTGCTCGGACCGCAAGGAGCTCCTGGAAAGAGGGTAATTGTCTTTCGACAAATGTGTTGGGTCTTTGCCAACCAACCATCGATATAAATAGAATTGTTAACCTTGATTCTATATCTATATCTTGATATAAAATATATCAACGGATGTAAAATAATAATCAAATAAATAAAAATAAATAAATGAAGAATAGTTATAGAACGTCAATGTAATTTGAACAGTCAACAACAAAGTTCTTGAATACTTATGAGTTCTTCAAATTATAGTTAGATTCAAATAAGCCTATTTCTAGCTAATCTTACAATACAGTGGATACGTTCTTTCCTATCAATATAAGCCAGTAAGATACCATTATATACGTTCTTAGGGTAAGAGCGGTGCACAAGGACCTCCCGGACCTGTAGGGCCTCAAGGTGAACGAGTGAGTATTACGTAAACTTATATCAATACAAATATTTTTAAATTGCATTAGTTCAATTTATGTCTGCACAAGATTATAAAATCTTTGTTTGTATCCTAATTAGATATGGCACGTATTTGACTAACATGTGCTACTCAAATTAACTTCTGTAGGGTGTGCCTGGCCCAAGGGGACTCCCAGGTCCTGACGGACTTCCCGGACAAAAGGGTGAGCAGGGTGCTCTTGGAGCGCAAGGGCCAATCGGACCTAAGGGCTCTCAAGGAGACAATGGCAAGCCTGGGCTTCCTGGACTCCAAGGCCTTCGAGGTACACCGGGTACACCTGGTCTGCCCGGAAAAGATGGAGCTCTTGGAGAAAGGGTATACACTCTGCATATTATACTATTTTTTTTTAAATAATGTTCATTCATTTTCTATCTGATTAATAATCCATATGATTTTTTATTTTTTAGTTTTAAGAAAATTTCTTTTGGCATCGGTTAATTCTGGCACCTTGAATTCTGACATATTCAAAGAAAGTAGATGTCGTGTTTAAACAATGATCTTTTTTACTTTGGGAGTAGGGCCTTCCAGGTGCTGATGGAAAAGCCGGCGAACCTGGGCAACAGGGAATGCAAGGCCTTCCAGGACCTACAGGGCTCCCGGGAATGAAAGGGGAACAGGTAGGCGTTATGCATTTTTACATGAAAGGAAACTGTTTTAGAAAGCTTCACTTAAACCTATGTTTGAAACAAACGATAGAATAGCGCACATTTTTCATTTTAGGGCGAGCCCGGTTTAGACGGCAAACAGGGCCCTCGTGGACCACAAGGGCCACGTGGAGACACTGGAAAGGAGGGTCCTATGGGACCGGCCGGATTACCAGGAAAACCTGGGGAAATGGGAATGAGAGGCCCCCCAGGATCGCAAGGGGCTCGAGGATTCCAGGTACTGAGCTTAATTTTTTCAGATGAATGAAAGGAGGGTTTAAGACAATTATCATATTTTTTAGATACGAACTGTATGATACAAACCGGCAATCCTAAGTCAAAATTAAGTAAGCATATGAAGACTAAGCGTTTCTTGTTTTTAGGGACTCCCGGGAGTCCCTGGCAATCCAGGTGCGCCGGGCAAAGATGGAATTCCTGGAATCGCTGGTCCACCTGGCCTTCCAGGAGCTACAGGTGCCAGGGGGGAGCGCGGCTTCCCTGGCGAGACAGGCAAACAGGGTGTACAAGGCCCACAAGGTGATCGTGGTGAACCTGGGCCTGCAGGACAGGATGGTGCCAGAGGTCCAACTGGAGAAAAGGGCGCTAAAGGACACCAAGGCCCCCCAGGTCTTGTTGTAAGTATTTACAACAACTTTAGACGTAAGATGTGATCATATAAATTACTATGCCAAGCGTTTACTTACCTAAAACTCCTTTTTAGGGACTCCCTGGTCGTCGTGGTGACATTGGATCAATGGGTCCAAAAGGTGAACGGGGAGACCATGGGCCACCAGGTCCTGAAGGTCCAATGGGCCGGCCGGGAGAACCAGGTGTACAGGGTCCCGTCGGACCTATCGGACATACAGGCGAGCCTGGCATTAAAGGCGGGTCAGGTCCCACTGGACCGATTGGCCCAACTGGAGCTCCTGGACAGGTTGGCGCTAGAGGCCCTATTGGGCCTCCAGGACCTATTGGATTCCAAGGTCCACTTGGTCCCCCTGGACCTACTGGACCAAAAGGTAACAACGGAGCACCAGGTCCTAAAGGTGAACAAGGCGAGATCGGCCCCCAGGGCTCCCCCGGTGATGCCGGACCTCCTGGACCCCTTGGCCTTTCAGGACCCAAGGGCCCTCGCGGGGAACCTGGTACCAAGGGAGACATCGGAATTCCAGGTCTTATCGGTCGGCCTGGTGAGATGGGAAGGCCCGGAGAGATTGGATTGCCCGGTCTACCGGGACCGATAGGCCTTCCAGGTGGGCTAAAGCATTTACTAGTACTTTTACAACTTCATTATAATATATTAATATAGTATAATATATTAATAATCCTCAGATTCATCTTTTCTGGATCAATAATGCAGAATATTGATTTTCAAAAAAATGCATGTGTACAACATAATTCAATAACGATAGTTGCTAAATAGCAGCTAAATTTAATATTTCTGTTATTTCATTATATTATTTCGACCTTCCCATGACCTCCGTAGATCTGTAGTCCATAAAGGAATTTAATAATATTTTATAACTACATTTCACCTACATTACTTAAGTGCCTAATTCATTATCTCAGGAATTAAGGGAACAACCGGTGAGCCTGGTAGGCCAGGTCTTCAAGGCGCACAGGGCAATCCTGGACCTATTGGTCCTCAAGGTATTAAAGGTGAAACCGGTGCTGAGGGTCCTGTAGGTCAAACCGGACCTTTGGGTCCCCCTGGTCCACACGGAGAGCGTGGCGTACCAGGTTTGCCCGGCCTTCAAGGTCCTAAAGGTCCAATGGGACCTCGTGGACCTCAAGGAGAGCGTGGTCAAGAAGGAAAGCCAGGAGGAGATGGACCACCAGGATCTGCTGGACCTCAAGGTATCCAGGGGCCACCTGGACCTCAGGGTGAAAGAGGACTCATTGGAAGCCCCGGCAAACAGGGTCCACCTGGTATCGCGGGCCGTCCCGGTGACAAGGGACCTCAAGGAGCAGCAGGAGCACAGGGACCGCCTGGACCACCTGGTCTTATTGGCGCCCCAGGACCCGTTGGTCAAAGAGGCCCATCCGGTGATCATGGAGAAAAGGGGGACACTGGTCCCATGGGTGTAGGTGGTCCCCAGGGACCTCGTGGCCCGCCTGGAGTAGCCGGTTTACAGGGCAGTAAGGGAGACCGCGGAGAACCTGGTGATCGTGGACTTAAGGGTCATCGAGGTCTCGCTGGTTTGCAAGGACTTCCTGGACCACCTGTGAGTTGTCAATCTACCTTAATTCCACGCTATTTCCAATCTCAGTAGGTAATCTCTCCATATACCATCTTACGAGGAATCGTACGATTTACATGTAATGCACAATGACGTTCAAGAGCACAAATATGTGATTTGCATGCTTTCTTTTCCGATGTATGTGAATCTTTTCTTCTTCTACGTTAGGGAGCTCCAGGAGAGCGCGGAACTCCTGGAGGTGCAGGAACTACCGGACTTCCAGGACCAGCTGGCCCAAGAGGTGCACCTGGAAGAGACGGTGCGATGGGACCTCAAGGAGTTCAAGGAGCACCAGGCCCTCGAGGGCCCCCTGGAGAAAATGGCAAGCCTGGTATTCCCGGAGCTGCTGGTCCTCCTGGACCCCCCGGACCTCCTGGAGAGCCATTCGGATACGATCCCGCCGCCCTTCAGGCTATTCTTGGTAAACCTCACACGAAGGGCCCAGATCCAATGATCGGCGACGACGCACGCGTACTATTCGATGACAAAGCTTCAATTGAAGATAAGAAAAAAATCATCTTTGAGTATTACAAAAAGCTTGTCGAGGAGTATGACCGTATAAGAAACCCCGTCGGAACGAAGGATGCTCCTGCCAAAACATGTAGGGATCTCTCGATTTCCCATCCTGACTTCAAGAGTGGCATGTATTGGATAGATCCGAATGAAGGGGATTCGCGCGATGCTATCCAGGTTTACTGTGACATGCGTGTTGGGGCGTCTTGCATTACACCTTCACCGAAGATCGTACCAAATAAGGCACACTACATTGGCAAACCAAAACATACCTGGTTCTCTGAAATGCCAGGCGGAAGTCAGGTAAGCAGTTTATATGGAATACTGCTTTCATCAGAATCCCTGTTTTCTAGATAGCATCCTACCCGGTTTTTTCCACAAATTTTTGTCCGCACTTTCATCTTATGACCTCTGCTTTCAACGCCTGAAGCCATACAAATATACGCTGCACGCCGAACTTGAAATGTTTATATGTCGACATGCAACAGTGCGTGATAGTGCTTTGTTGACACGAGTTGTGCGCGCAGCGTATTACCTTATCCGATAATACGGCTTCGAAATGTACACAGCAGAAATTCGTTAGAATTGGAAGAAGAAACACTGCCAAAAGCTGAAATCTAATTAACAGCTTTACTCTGGACTTGCCTTCAGTTCACGTACAAGATCGACCGCGTACAGCTGACATTCCTGCAAATGCTAAGCGGGCGTGCCGAGCAGAATATCACGTACCATTGCAAGAACTCAGTCGCCTACTTAGATGCCACCAAGGGCAACTACAGAAAAGCAGTGAAACTGCTTTCTGGGAATGATCTCGAACTAAAGCCCCATGGGGATAACGTATCTGCAAACAACAAATTCACCTTCACTGCAGCATACGATGGTTGCAAGGTACTGTACCTGTAATACTTTTTTTTTTTTTACTAGTTATCTAAATTAAACGAGACTATTAGTGAGCTTATTAATATGGGAGATTCAACACATCCAGAGATATTTTGGATTTGTAAAAACACTAGGATTGTACAAAGAAGAAAGTTGTGACGAAAATACTTCTATTACTTCGAAATGTGTATATCTGTAGTCTTAATTTATGTGCAAATTTATATGGTACAGGATCGCAAGAGCAGCTGGGATCAAACTATGCTTACTTTTAAGTCGGACAAGCCCAACAGGCTGCCGGTTGTGGATATCGCCCCCAAGGACATCGGAGGACGTCAACAGCAATTTGGCCTCGAGATCGGCCCGGCCTGTTTCCTTTAGTACTGTTGGCTTCCATATTAGGTCGTCAACTTAGAGGCAGTTGGTTGTTAGATAAGTTTAACTAGGTAGTTACCAATAAAATGACACTGGTTACGCGGGGAGTACGAATCTTGGTGTTCTTAATTCTTTTATGTAGATATCCAACGGAACTACTAAGTAATTAGAGAAACACTTTTTCCTTATCTTTTTTTGCCATTATACATTGACTCGATATGAGACCTGCAACTTCATTAATTGCTAGATCAGCAGTGCATGCCCATACAATCTAAACAGTGGCTTTTAGGGCTCACTAACACAATATTCGAAATAGCGATATTAGTAAAGGTTCAAAAACATTATAAACAAAATATCTAACGAACAAAGTTTCAAAGCAGTCGTTTTAAATCGTTGTTAAAATAAAGTTAACCTGATTTAAATCTGAATCATAATAGTGCGACCGGAGATATTTAATATTTCTAACACTTTTTGAACAGATCGTGTACTCGTGTCGACAGGGTATCCTTTCATTTACAATTTCAATTTGACCATTGTCATTTTGTAGTCATTTGAAAAGGTTGCATCTCAAAACAAATATCAGGAGCAAAGAAAGACGTAACAAACATCATTCAACTTGGAGCTCGCTGCGTAACAATACAGGATCCAATAGCTTCAAAAAACTTTGCATGTTAAGAAAGTTTGAAGAGAAAAAAATTCTACAATTTAATTAATATATTTTTATAATCCGCGACCCTAGTCCTAGTAGCTCCTGTAGCTTGCATAAAAAAAAACCGATTTTTCATTATTGCTCGTGTGAATGACATACAGCCCTCCCTTATTTGACACACGAAACAGTAGGTCTGCTAATGGGCACACATTTTGATTTATTTACACAGCGTTTATGTGTACATACATCTAAACAAACAATTAACGCTTACCGCTAAAAACTGCCATTTCTATGTACCCGAACCTTTTAAATATCTGTACATTTTGTAAATAAGTGCAATACTTGAATTATCCACAATCGTTCTGGATATCAAGATATCCTTCCCACACCATGTCATCTTGTCGATAAATTCATTCAAAGAAAAGACTGCATAGTCCATCAATACCCGATACATAGATCAACCAAAGCTATACAAAGGGAATTCTTCTGAACATCAAATCTTCACTTGCTTGTACTAGGTCACCTTGTTATTTTCTGTGGACGTCAGCTTTAAATAATCAGTAAACTATAAGAACCAGAGTGAACAAATGCATCAGTTATTTGGATGAATGCCGCTGCTTACAGACATCGGCCAACCAAATAATAACCGTGGAGATCATCGATTCAGGTGCTAAGAAATTATTGCGTGTTCCAGCACCCCGTTATTTTAAAGGTATTTTTGAGTCTTTCCTGAGGCAAATCTGGACTGTAGAAGAGTACGGTCGAGCATCGATTTAGCGCGGGACGTGTCAACCATTGAGACGCGCATATCTTCCTCCCAACAGAATGGCCTTCGTTCTGGCATCGACTGGAATAAATGTACAAATACTGTTAACAAAGAGAATTTTACGAATTCTCAAAAAAGAATGCACTAGTATGATTTCTGTAATCCGCTCCCTCTGATCACCACCAGTGAAATTAAGTTATATAGACATTAACAAAAATAATATATCTGAAGCCATACATACTAATTTACTCAATGCCAAAACACTGTTTTGACACCGCTATTTGCAGAAAGGGCCATAATAAAACACCGACATGCATAAACTCAAGTGTTATAAATAAGAAGATTGTGCATACCTCTTGGCGGTTATCATCCTTTTTTTTCTTTTTGCTTCTGCTTTTTTTGTCTTTCTTTTTCTTTTTATCTTTTTCGCGTTTCTTCTTGTCCTTTTTTCGGTCCTTCTTTTTATCAGCTGTGTTTCTCCTTGCAGTTTTGTTCTCCTGATGTAAATCAATCAGGGCTTTACTCCGCTTTGCGGCGTTATAGTCGATCAGTGACGCATCGATCTCGGCATCACGTTTTCTGAAAGCATTAACGATGGGCTCACTAGTTAAGAAACGGCTAGCAAGCTCAAACAAACAATGCTCGCATCTTTCGCGTTCATACAAAGAGAAGACGATACAATTTCTATTAACATGGTTATTCTCGATTTCTGTACAACTTTTTTAAAGTTATTTTTAAGGTAGCGTCGATAATTCTTATGAGAAAAGTTATTGTAATATTTGGATTTATGTAATTTTAAAGGTGCCGATGTGTAAGGTGCATGCTATGGGTGGTTCTCTGCGATTTTTTAAGTACGTAAACAATCACAAAAGTGATGCGAAATAGTCTTTCCGATAACGGTTTAGTTATTTTACCTCTGAGCCATAGCTAGTTGCTCCTTTTCTATTCGGCTGTTGTCAGCCGCTTGAGGCCGCTTTTTCTGGCCAACGACATCTGTCCAACTGTCGTCCAGGGCAAAATCCTAAAAAACAATCGGAATTTGGGGTTATCTTTAACTTTAAATAAACTTTCAATAAAATTTTAAACAAACAGTAAGATGTCAACATGATGTTGCGTGTAGGTCTAGAACTTCAACGTTCCGTATCCTACGACGGGCCCCAAATAGCTCAATGTATAAGTATCAATGTCTCATTGATATATGCTTGAAATTTAGACCATTACTTGCCTTATCGATACCAGCTGTTATAGCATTGCGTTGCAAATACACTGTCCAGTATCAAGGCCGGTTCTATTGTGGAGTCCTAGTTAACTATAGATGAAAAATAATAATGAATCCGCCAATAAGCATTTTATTATGCTATAAACGAGATATTTCGAAGCAGAGATTTGTCTTAGCTTTTCTACCTCGCCTCCACGTTTCAGGAACGTTCTTGCCTCCGTTCCTGACACGCGAACCCCAGTCCGATCTCTGGGTAGTTCTGTCATCCAGGATTCTCGAGCAGGCTCGTAGGTCTCGTTTTTTTCAGCCCTTCGTTGTCGCTCTTCAAACTCTTTTCTCACATCATAATCTCCGCCTTGCAGATCCACACAAGGTCCGATCACCTCGCCATCAGAATCTGATTCTAAAGCGGACGATGAGCCACTGTCGTCTGAGCCACTTCTCTGCGTACTTGGACCCGGTTCTGTAGTATAATATAGTTTTAAATATACAACGCAATACTTGTTTGTTTTAGCTTTATTTTTATCGAACCTCAGAGCCTGCAAATAAGCTAGTCATAAGTGTCTTCTATGATTTGAAAAAATCGTCTCATTTATTTACAGAAAAAAAAGGCCAATTTTCAACTGTGCTTGTATGAGATTGAAATAATCATATGTTATATATGATTATAATCAAAACCTGTAAAGGAGTCGAATTCACCTGGACATGTCCACACAACGTAAAATACTAACCATATTAATTTTTCCTCGTGCTTAGAAACTTTGTAAATACAATGCCTTTTTTTAAAGCTACCACCAAAATAATTGTTATACAAGTTCGCATTTTACTGTAACAGCATGGAACTTTTTTGGTATTTTTTTTTTTTTAGTCGGCTTTCATAAATTACAAGTACATTGTAAGCTTGGTCTTCCTCTTATCTTCTATAAATAGAAGTGTTATTCGATTCAATACACCTCATGCTAAATATAACTAGACTTATACCAAGATGCCGCAAATGGGGTGGAAGAATTGGTCCGATAATCTCTGGCAATGACTGCTTAATTCTTTTCTGACCATTCTGACTATCTTGGGTATCACTGTTCACTGGCCGCGTGTCGAAGTCCTCCGAGCTGAAATTATAATGATACCGTTTTTGTTTGCTTAAGGTCTATATATAATATTGCAAAATGAGTAGTACATTGAGATAAGTTGCAATAGATTTTTGCTGCGGTCAGTTAATAGATCCAGAGTTTTATTCAGCAGCAATTAAGGTCTCAGTAAACACACTATAACATAACCCAAAAGACGAATTTCACTAAGCTTACCGATAGTCTCTGTATATCTATTCTTATTGCACCAACTTCGATGTTAAATTCATCCTTCCATTCAAAAGCTGACATAATTTTTAATATAACATACTCGTTCAATGGCATATTTACAAAGAAAGCAAGCCCTAGATAGCTTTGGTGGAAATATTCTCGGTTCAGTTTTCAATGCTGTTTTCCAGAATAGTTGCGGTACGTTCGTACATACTGCGCATAATAGCTTCTCACCGCGGTTCCTTTGAAGCGAATCGGAAGTCCGGCGGCAGGGCAGGCCCCAGAATTGAGGTCGACGTGTCTGTATTTTTGTCCGCGCCTTCTCTGCAGCTGCTGACTTCATCCCGAGATCTATTAAGCGTGAAGAACATCGAACTTATGCAATTAGAGACTATAAACGCGCTGTAGTCAGTTAACTCCTGCTGTCGTTTGAGTGTAAGCACAGTACCTACCCTGGTACAATCGATGCCTGTATATATATATATACATATATTGTTGTTATCTTTTTACTTTTTCGAATCCCACGAAAATGTTCAAAATATATACGTCATTTCCTTTGGTTGTCAAGTGCGTAACGCTAGACTTGAAAAATTATTTTCAGTATACTTCGGATAAATTATTGACATTTCTAATAGTGTAAAATAAAATCTTAGTGATTACAGAAAAAGAAAGCATTTAATTATTATTTAATACGGCAATACGTAAGAGAAATAGTTTCCGTGCCTTTATTCGTAACTATAAATAGTAACTATTTTTTCGAAGGCGTTTCGACCTTAGAAAATGCGCCCCATAACAAAATGTATTGCGAATTTCCTACTGCTCTTGGGTCTTTTTTGTGGTAATATTTAGACATTTTCATTCGCTTACACTATGTATCTCTTTTTTACTGTTGCTTTAACTGTATGTACAAACCAGCAACTGCTATGTATAGTGTGCAATAAATAGGCAATTAAAATGTACAAAATATTTCGGACCCAGACCTTAGGTGAGACGGGAGCTCTGGCCCCATTATCTTCGCCTTAACTATAAGGTGTACGGGATAAGCACAATTTTCGCAGTTTTTTTAGCGACTTACAGTCATCTGCCAAAAATCACTGATAGCAGATCGACTCCACCCGAAAAATGACATTCACTCACAAAGCACGGTTTGTTTCGTTCTCTTCTCAATCTACCCACAGTGGACTGCCTACCGATGCCGTTGTTAAAAGCTGACCGAGATCACATTTCCGCAACTGTTAGCATTTTCACTCTATCAATAACCCGCCGATCCCTTCCCCTGACACCCTTTCCTTTTAGCCTTAATGTTGGTAATCAGGCGCCCTCTCATTGAGCGCCACCAAAACCGCTAGGAATAATGCGTCGCTTAGGCCGTTCCGCTCATGTTTCTATTCTGAAAAGCAAACAGATCTTTAATAAAATATAACCTCTCCATAAATTCTAGTAGCGTTTATAGGGAATACACATTGGCTCCTAGCTCATGCGTTCATCCAAATCTATAATTCCTTTGCCAAACTTCACCTCCTGCCAAGTCCTCTACCGTTTTCAGTGCAGATCAGTACCTAAGCACTAATCATCATTTCTCGATTCGTTTCCCCGCTAAATTTAGTGGAATTGTACTTCCCTCTCCCTTTCGTCAGTGTTGCGTCTGTCCGTATATCCCGCTTGTCGTAGCTGCCCATTACGCTCCATCACCAGCAGCGCCCGACCCAGCGGCAACTAGAAGCTCCTCCGTCACAACTTCGCCGACGACGACCACGACGAGCACAGCTACTGCAGTCACTCCGTGTACGAACCTGTTCTGCGGTGCGACGCCGAGGCGCCTATCTGCGGTGAGACAGGGACAGTAGCAGGCGACTTATCGTCGATGCTCGGTGAGATCGTGGGCATTTGCTGTTGTTGCTGCTGTGCATCCATTGTTGTTATGTTACGACTACGACTTTTCAGTGCCATCGACACCCCGAGCTCTGTTTGTGGCTCGATTACGACGATCGATTAGGGTTTAACTAGTGTCGGGCCGTTTCAGCCTGGAGAAGACGCACTTGGTACGCTTGCCCCACTATTTCTCTTCTTCTTGGAGTATTGTAGCCGAGTCTTACAGCAGTGCTAGTAATAGGAAGAAAAGCAAGCCGGCCGGGCGAGCGAGAGAGGGCGACTGGACCACAGTAAAGGCTGTTTGCTGCCTGCGTTATTTATTTGGGGCGGCAGCCAGAGTCGTCAAGCTGTGACTAGTTCGTTACTTCTAATCGCAACACATATGCATGGTGTCGTCTATATAATCGTGTTGAAAACTGGCTATTAATTTGTGTCGATTGGTGCGTACGATGGTGTCCGACAGCGGCGGTTGCTTTCCCCGTTGATACTGCGAGTGGTGTTGAGGGCTGCCCCCTGTGTCGTCCGCTTGTCTATCTCTCCGCCAGCAGCAGCAGCAACAGCAGATCATAATACCAAGGAGTGCGAGCGGCGACTGCTGATGATGCTGTTGTCCCTGTTACCACATTGCTGATGCTGTAGCATTGGGGTTTACTTGCTGTAGAGGCCTCACCCATCGGTGGTAGTTTGGTGCGGTGTTGTCGTCTTGTGCTGCTGTTGCTGTTGCTGGTTTGTGATGATGGCAGTGCTGCTGCCGTCGCTGCTGCCGTCGCTGCCACAGCCTCCACTGCTGCTGATACTGCTGTCGTCGTCGCCATCATCAGCAGCGCCATTGCCGTTATTATCGTTGTAGTCAACACAGCGGCTGCTCGACCATTCAAACCAGTACACGTACGACTGGGCGTTATTGCTGCTGCTGCCGCCGCCGCCGCTACTGGTTTTCACTCGCATAGCTGATTCTAGCACGGCGACCACTACGAATACAAGTGGCCAACTGGAGTCAAGCTGACCACATAATAGCAGAGAACCAAGGATCATTCAGTGCTGTTGGTCGCTAAACGGATAGTGTCGTCTTTGGCAGGTCCTGGCGGTGACCGGAGGAAGAGAAGCGGCTACACGCCAAGAACCAGCCCAACGGATTGCCAAGGACCGGACGAAATCTTCGCAGAAAAACAAAAGAAGACCCGCTGCCGGTTTGTCGTTGCTATAGCAATAGTAGCCGCTGTTGTCAGCGGCATTCGGTCGTCGTGGCGGTGGCAGTGTCCGTGAATTTGAGGACGAGTCTACGTCATGCAATAACGACCACTACCGCGGTTACGTCCATTATCTTTGTCATTGTCTGCTCATCGAGCGATTGAAAGAGATTGCACACCAGAGATAGGGTCGATCGAAACACTCGACGATAAAACATATCTACTTAAAAAGGCAGTACCATCGGAAATAGCTGCACCAACAAGACTGCTAACGACCGTTTTTTTCTTGCTGGAGCAACCATATATATATATATATATATATATATATATATATATATATATTTGTATACTGACAACCACCGCCCCTAGAAAAATATTGGTGCTATTTACTCCTCCTGGTGGAATTGGTAGCTTGCGGAACGGCCACTCCTCTGGAGTCTGCTGAAGTTAGATCGACGGTAGTGAAGTCAGCTTGCTGGTGAATGAGAACGTCTCTATCGGGTGAAAAGAGCCGCGTGCTCGCTTCTTGAAGCGGAAAAAAGGAAATAACCGGAGTTCGCTTAGTGTCATCTTGACGCGTGTGCTACTGTACATTTGCGGTATATCGCCAAATTTTAGGGTAAGAATAGTCGTATATATACATATATATCGGTGATATAAATAGTGACGGAAGTGGGACGAGCGAATCCGTTTGACTGATAGAACATCAGCTAAGCGTCCAATCGTGACAGCAACAGGCAACAGCGGGAACATTGTCATCATCAACAACAATCCGTCGGTCTCTCAAGTCATTCTTCTACGGGAAGCATCCAACAACTGAACATCATAGAAAATACGTGTTTTTGTAACTCCACCACGGTTCCGTGTACATCATTTTTAACGTGTTCTTCGATCATTCATTGTCAGTGTCATACTGCCATACCTGCTCTGATTATCTAGTTGGATTAATAATATTGTCACTTGCGTCGTCATAAACAAGTACCTCGGCAAGTAAACGTTTGCATTGTTATACTGAAAGACCGGCGTTATTGTGCGACTGACTATTGACCAACAATCATCTGTAAAGTCGAGGTACAACAGCAACGGCTTCCAATTGTCGGGCTGTCATTACTGAATTGAGAGGCAGGCCATCGTGGTTGGATCGCCACCATTATCGTAGATCGCGCTGTTACCATCGGGTTGTTGCCAGTTGCATATCATTAAATGAAGAATGAGGTGCTTCCTTTAGTGGTGATGGTAGATGCAGCAGTTTCCCCAGCAGCTGTGGCGAACACAGAAGACAAACAAGTACAGTTTCAGCAACATCAGAACGGCAGCGCCAGCGATATTAGCGGAAGTCTCTGGTCATCACCACAGCAACAGAAACTTTTTGGATCGCTGCACGGCTCTCTAGATATAAAAAAGAAGAGAAAACGGTAGCCTCCGAGGTTATTTCGTGTGTTACTTTAATGATATCATTATAATTACTATTTTCGCAGTATAACCGTTGGGGGTTTTGCTTTATTCCGTCGGATCTCCGCCGCATACATCGTTCGCGTAAGGCCGATCTATAATTGTATTCGGCCGTAATCTTTACAGAATGATGAAAGCCGGCCTATTGGACTAGAGATAATTGTGGAGATCTGCAGCGTTATCTGAATACAGTAGCGGCTAACCAACTGGCACATACAGCAGCGAACGAAGATCAAAAGCTTGCGTGGCGTTTTCAGAAGTAACATTTGAGTTCGATGAGGCCAACGACTTCAATATTACCAATGCAGTTTACATGTGAAAAATATTTTAAAAAGTTAATTTAACAATATTTGCAAGTAGTGATCGCGTGCATGCTTATGCTTGTCTACGATATTATTATAGTGTGACCTGCCGCTACTGCCTTGCGACCTACGAACCGTAGTGAATTAACTATTGGATATCTGATTCATTGATTGACCGGCCGCTTGGTGGAAAACCGAGGTTTCTAAAACGCCATCGTTCACTGAAATGTCGTCGGAAGCTTTAGCAGCCCATGCGGCGCTTACGGCTCGCCGACCTGATGGATCACAAGGTAAGTGACATTGTGCTTCGGCTATAAAATGGATGGCTATTTGAATATTTGCTTAGCAAATGTTTACCTTACGTTTTTTCGGGCCCACAATTACCTGCTTAGTATTTACTAGCAGTAGCCGAATCGAACCTCCTAGCATTACTTTTCTGAAGGTGGACAACACACCGTTACATTTGGCTGATCTCGTAACCGTATTGTAGACGTAGATAGGTAGTGGGGCATGAGTGAATGAACGAATGAATAGTTGGCCAGCTGAGTAGGCGCACAAGGCTAGATCACAAGGTAAAGGATAGCGTCGTGGGTGCCTGATGGGCGCCCCGTTGCTTCTAACGTATTCCTGGTACGATGGTTCACCAAAGGGTCCTCGAGAAGCCCCATGCGAATGTTTAAGGTGAGCGCCAATTAATTAATAGGCCGTGGCATTTCGCTTCGGAAATGCATCATATAGTTTGATAGTGTTTGAATTTGTACAACTCCCAAATGATATAATTGAATAAATATATTTGAGAATTGTACAAATGCTTTTTATAGGCAACGATGTAATCGTTTGTAAGCCTGGTAACAAATTCAGTTTAACGAGATTTGTTTTCTATCTGATGCGCTCATTGCCATAGCTGACTGTATTGTATCTCGATTCTCAGTGGCTAATTATATCTTGTTATACTGATTCGGTCCGTTGTGACCATATCAAGCAAATGTCTATGAATATTTTCTTGACAATGTTATTTATTGCAACGAATGCCACAGTCAGTTCCGTGGTGTTGCTCACTCATGTTGAGATTATTACGTTTTTGTCAAGATCAGTCTCCCTAAAATAAAGTAGACGTTTCGAGGTTAGACTTATAGTTCATGTAGTCGAGTTTTTCGGATTCGTCAATGGTTTTTGATTGGATGCCTGCTGCATTAATGTTATTGATGCTCTCATTATCCTGTTGATGAAAACATTATTTTATGCTTAATCTTGTTGGATAGAGCCGTTTCATGTATCCTAGTCGTTTAGCTTAACGTGTTCCTCGGTTTAATGTCTCTTTTGATGTCATGAAATTTCATCACGAAACCCGTTCTTCGAAGGAAGATGAGAACAGGCTTGTCCTGACATTTGCAGCGCATGCCCATACATTAAAATGCAGCAATGTATCAAACTGTGCCTTTCTGGTATTCATTTGTCATATGTATCATTACAAAATAAAAATATATGGTCGACTTATTGATCACACCCACACATAACAATACTCCATTATCTATTGTAGTATTTCACTCCATCGGTCGAATTTCGTCATCTAAAATTCTATCGCTAGCAAGTATTAGCACTAAGGATAGACGTAAAGACAAGTTTTTTTTCTATCTTTTTATGATAATCCGTACTGTGCAATATTTCCAATGCAACAAGACTACAACGGATAGTATTTAGTTTTCTTGCTCGATCCCAACGCTATATCTGTCCCGCTATTAGCAAGCATCATCATTTTTACATTACCACCATTTCAAATTCTACTCAATTCATGTTTGTCGCATCCGACTCATAAATTAATTTCTTTTAATTTTTTATTTATTTTTTACAGCATTTCAGCTTTCTTCTTATGAACTTATTTAAGCCACCATATTTTAAGATGCGTCTGTTTTTATTACTGAAGTGAGAGGTTCGCAATTTTTGAACCATGCTTGATTATTGTACTGTAATTGGTTATTCCTTCACGAACTCTAGTTCGGTAAGGAATAACTAATTCTGCTCAATTCTAAAGTCTAGACATAGTTTACCTTTGTCTATCGAATTTTTATCATGGGTAAACTCAACAGTTAGTACAGAATGCGCTCAAACGGGTAAAAACATCTTTCGGTGCATTACACGAATTACGCTTGAGGGTGATCTCACATAATCGATGGTTTTTTTCAGAGCAAGCTTCCGTAAGATCTAGTAGATTGATTAATTTTATTAATTGATTTTGTGCTTTTTTTTTTCGGTTTAAAGTAGTTTTTCTGCATCTTAGCAGAAATTGGTGTTTAGCCCCTTCCAAAAATTCGTTCTCTCCTTCACCTATATTCGATGCATTGACGCCTGCTTGCTCTTTTATGGTTGCTTTTTTGCGTTGAGTTCGCGTATAGAACAAAAGCTAGTAATAATAGTAGCCGTAGGTGGCTTTGTGCATGATAGACCGACGATCCCATATCGTGCCACCACTTTCTCTTTTACCACTTTCTCTTGTTAACATGACTCGACAGGTGTACCTGAGGCAATGGCCCTACAACGCCTGCTCGATCGGACAGCGGCTGATATGCCCACTCAAGGTGCGAATAGATTAAACATGTCTCCTTACATGTAACCGTAATGCACTTTTGTACTTCGCGTATGTTCACTTTGTCTCCACCTTATTAATACAATTGACGGGAATGAACTGTACCAAAAAGCAAAAGTATATATCGAACGTAACAACCTATAGCACAGGGAACGCCGACTTTACTCATTACACACACAGCTAACTTGTGTCGTAGATGTTTATTAGAGGCTGGTTGATATAGAATGCTTGAATTCTCATATTTAAAATTGTTGCAGGCCTTCACGAAGCGCTGATCGCGCAACGGTTGATCGACCGAAGTTTAAGCGAAGTGGGCACTCTGGGTCCACCCCCACCAACGTCACAAGGTACGGCTGCATCACTCGCATAATTTATTCAACAGAAATAATTATGCCAAGAGCACAGTTATCTGTCATTATTATTATTAAGTTACCTTGTGCGTAATTTTGTTTTCTAAAATTCACTATTCGAATACGTGGCTGATACTTAGATGTGATTCAAGATTCCCTATCAGCTGTTCATGCTGAACAGCGGGCGGCGGCAGCGGCAGCAGCTGCTGCAGCTGCAGTGTCCGGTGCTGGCACTGCTCCCCCAGGAGGGCAGCCTACAGGTGGAGGTCAAAGAGGCGGCGGTAGCGGCGCGACCAGTGGACCCCAGCGTAAGCATATTCGCACTTTTCGCACTGCCTTCACAGAATATTTTTACGATAATAATCAACTGTGCTGAAGGCACGGCAGAGCTGAAGCGAGCTGAACTCACCTGTCGGTTAGGATGCACGGTAGGGTGTTTTCAGAATGAAATAAGTCAATGTTCTAAAGTAGCGGATGCACTCGGGTGAGCCGGCAGCGACTCCATAACCTGTTTTCTTCCTTCCAGGTGGCTCCGGTGCTGGTGGGGGCGAGGCTAACGGTGGCTCTTCCGAACCCCGAGGTGGGCCAAAGGTCCCAACACGACCAACGGAACACTGGTGCCCCCTGTGTAATCGTTTCTTTTCGACCGCTTCCAACCTCACGCAGCATAAACGCGTTTTTCATAACTTCGAGTACAGCCGGCCAAAGTGCGACATTTGTGGCAAAACATTCTCGACGCCAAGCAATCTCAAACAGCACGTCCGGGTTAGTTAATCAGCTTTTTATGGTCGGTTATCGGCGGCGTGTCTGTGAATGTAACTAGCGGTTCAAATATGTGCGTTAACTTATGTAGTTACTAACAGAAACACAGTAGTATGGTTTGATCTAGCTTGATCTTGTTCCGGCCCAGTTCTTTCGAACATGTACAGTGAAAGACAAAAATCTGATACAACAATGCCTCCTAGAAACAGACAGTAAATCGCTTAAGCAACAAACTGCTTTCGTTATTTGGGATCAAGAGTTAACCCCGATTTCTAAACTTGTGTACTTTACTTCTATACACCTTCACACTAATTGCCGTATAGAGAAGCTCTTGCCAGTATGGTTGCGATCGTATTGAAAGTGAACTGAACATGTGTGTGTATATGTCTAAACGGAACAGTCAACGTGCCGCAGTGGTAATCTTGTAATTTTTTTATTCAGTTTATTCACATCGACTACAGCCGACCCAAGTGCGACATCTGCGGGAAAACCGTCTCGACAGTTAGCAATCTCAAACAGCACGTTAGGGTTAGTATGGATTTACCACATAATTATATTCCTCTATATGTAATATCATTCGCTTACCTTCATTGTTATACATCTACGTTACAAATCTGATACTTTGTAATTCTTGTCATTTGCGATGAACGAGGACAGCTTGGGAGTGACTGGTTGTTAGTTATCGTATAAATGAGCAGTAATATTATTATGGCATGTTGATGATGGAGTGGGTGGGGATTTTTATCTGATTCAAAGTTGCGTAAATCAAAAACCTCCAACGTTATTACGCTCCGCTTAGGGTATCGTTCTGTTAGTTAGCTTTTTTCAATTTAACTGAGATTTTTCTACAAACCCGATTTAACAATTGTTACTTACATAGTGGCAGAACATCTATACCATCTTTCTCTATTCCTTTTCGTCCCTGTAAAGATGTACTTTTTTCCAGTGTAGCCGTAATTGTAGACCGTAGTTTTTATTTAGTACGTTTTATTGAATCGTTTCAATTACCTAATATTGACCGAGTTAGTCTAAGGTAATGGTGCAGCGAGATTCGTTAAAAAATGGGAGCGAGCAACTAAATTGATCGCTTAACTTTAATAAAGAGCAGTTTTATATGAATTTTGTCTGCACAAAGTTTGTAGGGTATTCGAGGGATAGTGGACTTTCTGCATCGAAGTGAGTTAAATCGGCTAATGTTTTATCCTCCGCGACCATTTACTTTTAGCATCGATGCTGCTGTTTTAATCAATCTTCTAGTAAAAAAATCGATGCCATTGCCCACAGGTAGGGGGTGCCCCGCATGTCGTTTTTTATAATAATACTAAACCGGTACAAAGCAAGCTTCATTCAGTAAGTTATCGAAGGGACGTTAGGGGTTAGACGCCACGAGAAGCTTCAATTCCGAGTCTGATATTGTATATTGTCTTATTTAGTTTGCCCACATCGACTACAGCCGGCCCAAATGCGACATCTGCGGAAAGAGCTTCTCGACGGTTAGCAATCTCAAACAGCATGTTAGGGTTAGTACCTATATTCACACTTCAGTTGTAAATTATCAATAATTTTCTATATTTACCTTTTAGAAGATTTAGCCGTAGGAGAAAGACCTAGCTAGTCTTATTACGCGATTATTTTTCATTCAATATGTTGCAGTGCCCATGTTTCTCATTAGAGAAAAGTGCGGAGAACGAAAAAGAGGATTCGCAATTAACGAATGAAAGAGCGAGGGAGTTCTGTCTGAATCCAAGATCCAAACTTAGTTAGCTCGTAACTTACAAACGTTAATGTTTGGTTGTATTTCGTGTGAATGAGCTGTGTGCCTGTTTGTGCGTCGATCGTAGCTATAGAAAAAGTACTGGGCAATTAAGATTCGTTTCGTTCGGTTTACTGTTGCTGAAAAGAAACAATATTGCTCAATGCCGTCTTGTTGCATACCTAAAGCAGCCTAGGCAAATTTCTTGGAGAACGTGTTATACCGATTGGTTGGTATATTCATTTATTGATGTGTGATGCGTCTTGATGGCAGTATGTTGTACAAAAAGATGCATTATGCAGAAAGTAAATTGTTTTTCCTATAAGTTTCGTAATTACAACTTCGGTTTAAGATATACATATATATATATATATATATATATATATAGGAAGAAACGTCTGGTTTTCCTTAGGATGCTACAGCCAGTTGTTTCATGGTACGAATCGACAAACGGTTAGGTTCTACCTAACTACTGAGGGTAGTCTGAAAAAACACACAGAAAAACCAGGACAGGAAGGCCGGTTACAGGTCTTGAAAACCTGTATCTTACACTTGATATCTGTTACTGTCTTTGTGGCACGATGACAACACAATCTATTAGCGAGTTTTTATGTTGTAGACTGAATGAAACGTGCGATACCGACAGATTTTGGAAAGAGACGTTCTTCAATGAAACTCTGGTCTTGATTATCTTTTATTTAGTTTTCCCACATCGACTGCAACCGGCCCAAATGCGACATCTGCGGGAAGAGCTTCTCGACGGGTAGCAATCTCAAACAGCATGTTAGGGTTAGTACTTATTCTTATACAGTTCACTTCACTGAAATCTGACATTGCAAGTACCATCTAATACAACAAACTGCAAAATCTCTAAAATTCACAAAAATACCACTGTAGTCATTAAGTTTGTCTGATTGTTACGAAAGACTTTTTTTTTGCTTATTGCCGTAAGAAAAGACGACGTAAAGTCAGTATGTACTCCACGGCGGAAGCTGACGGGAAGTTAGACACGGAATTCTTGTCTAAATCCAAATCCAATATTTAGATCCGATGCTCTGCGTGCTAGAGACAATACATTTGATACCAGTATTGTTGTTGTTTTTTTTTTTTCTCTATAAACAGCAAAAACAACTTTAAGATGTGATCTCATTACACACAATAGCAAAATTTTGCTGATATATTTTTTTTTCGTTTTGTGCACTTTTTTCTAAGCACGTGATAACAGATTGATCGATGTACTCGGACCAGTTAGTCTTGTTTCAGCTCAATGAGCTCTTTTTACCGCGTTATAGAAACCTTAGACGCTCATACGAATTGTAAACCCCATGCGTTCTGTGTTAAAAGAGTAGATTTTTTAGGAGCTAGATTACAGCTATGTAGAATTTTAAGCACGGTGCTACGTATCAGTTGAATGATGTAGTTGCGCGTATATATATTTAAAGTCAGCTGGGTTTTTTCAAAGCTTCCAGTCTAATGGTGCCGATCTAATCTATCTGGTCGCAAAATTAAACGACACACTTCTTTTAAAAACAGCTTTCCTGTTGTCGACCAACCAGCCACCGTACATCTTATTCTCCTCTTTGCATAATAGTAGACAGAGAGAAAGAATGGCTTGGATCTAGGCAAAGTATTCCAAACGTTTCCCGAACACCATTTTTTCACGTTACGGCATTCTGAAGCGCACTTTCTAAATCCATACTGTGATAAAGGCTGCAGAGGCATGAGAGTCATCTAAATAAAGAGGGGGGAAAACCAGATTCAATTACAATCTGATATTGAATATATACGTTTTCAATTTAGTTTTCGCACATCGACCTCAGCCGACCCAAGTGTGACATCTGCGGGAAGAGCTTCTCAACCGGTAGTAATCTCAAACAGCACGTTAGGGTTAGTACCTATTGTGTCTACCTATAATCAAAACGACATGATACGCAACAATTAGGCTTGGATAACACTTGCCTTGTACGGGGCGCCTGCGATACAAACGATGCCTGCAGGCCATTAAATAGAGCATTTCTACAATATCGCATTATTTTATTCTACTGCATTAGTTGGGAAGCGTTTCATCTGCGATTTGTTGAACAAAGTGCAACATAAGACGCAGGATGTACCTCGTCGTCGTACAGAAGTAGCTTAGCTGCAAATTTACGTGGATGATTTTTTCCAAGTAGACATGTATGTCTATTTATTATATAATATAGTTGAAATACTCTGATATGTTAGTGGTAGCTACATCATCATTGTTATTGCATCTAAACAGCGGCAGATAGGGGCTTCGCTTGCTTGCGCTCTTCTGAAAAAGACAGCGATCAAGAAAATTAAATTACAACTATTTACAATCTGATATTGAATATATACGTTTTCGATTTAGTTTTCCCACATCGACCTCAACCGGCCCAAATGCGACATCTGCGGAAAGAGCTTCTCGACCGGTAGCAATCTCAAACAGCACGTTAGGGTTAGTACTGCTATCAGAGAGTAACACGTACACTTCTGTGTCGATCGAGCACAGAGTCACACTGCGTAGCATTCACCTTGTATGCACCGTATTTCGGCAATATGGTAGATGCGCTAAATACCTATAGCGCCGAAGATAAAGGGAGACGGGGTGGTCATCAAATGCGTTTCTCATCTGCTCATATTCGTGTCCACATATCACGGCATCAGATGCCCATGGCGCACCTTCGGGATATTTATAGCAATCTTGGTGCGGCCCGCTCCTAGTGTTCGTTCATTGCATGCTTCACCAATGGGGCTTAACTAGTCTCTAGAGCTCCCTACACACCGTGTACAAGAGGTTTCATGTCTAATCAGACTGAAACCTATACAGCATTGGAGATCATTGTCGTCATCCCGTGTATGTTTCATGGCTCTGTTGTGTCCTTCTTGGCGTCACGAACCTTCATCTGATCATGGTGCTTCGCTCGATCTTTGACGCTATCGGGTATTTTAGTTGTTGCGAAATAATAATATTCTACGAATCATAATTCAGTATTAACTTTATGGGTAAGGACTTGGATTTAGACGAAGTTCCCCCGAAAACTTTCCGACATTTCGACAAGTTACAACTTCCTTTAGATCACTCAGTAAAAACATTAGAAAACAAGAGAATCTTCTCCCACTAGTGAAGTAATTTACACAAGCATTGAGATGAGAAGCGAATTCGATCCGAATCTGATACCTCTCTGTACGTTTCTGAATTTAGTTCTCCCACATCGACTGCAACCGGCCCAAGTGCGAGATCTGCGGAAAGAGCTTCTCAACGGGTAGCAATCTCAAACAACACGTTAGGGTTAGTACTGACTCTCATTTGCTGTTTCATTAATTAATCCATACCTTACTATTACCCTATTTAACGACTTGCTATTTTATGTTGCTAATATTGGGTAGACCGACAACGCTGAGCCCCACTTGGTTGCACCTATTAAACCGAATACAGTATTCATCCCATAATATTGTATCTTATTTGATTTTTCTAAACTACTAGCGGATGTCCTAATTAGGCCAGAATCCCTAATTTCATATGCTATTTGTGTCAGTCTCTATTCTATCATCCTGTCGATTCGTTTTTACGCACAACTATTTCTTCCTTCCTTAAACGGCAATAGATTTAAAGAATTTTCTGGTCGAGTTCGTAAAGATAAATGTAAATAAAAATTCATTTCGAGTCGATACTGATTTGACTAGAGTCTGATAGAGTCTGTCTATAATTTGTTTATTTAGTTTTCCCACATCGACTGCAACAGCCGACCCAAGTGCGACATCTGCGGGAAGAACTTCTCGACGGTTAGCAATCTCAAACAGCACATTAGGGTTAGTACTACCATTCATATCTAAAAATTCTCTTTTTTGCACTTAAATTCGAATTAACCGAAGGGAAAGATAAAAAGCCGTTGCAAGAAAGATTATGTTAAAATATAAACGGTCACTGTACCATCTGTGTTATCTAGGAAGGGTTAGCAAAGTGAGGGAATCTTTGTCTAAATCCAAGGTTCGCCTTTTCGAATTTTCCTGCCGAGTAAATGACAAGAGTATGTCGATTTGGGCAAACGTGTTATACGGATAACACTATCGTTCACAACATACTTTTGTCAAGAGTTACTTATGATAAGACTTCCTTATGAAAAATCTACGGTGACTTCTGTCCGAGCAAAAAGTACTACTGGGTTAAAAATGCAGAATGTTAGCAATAAAAAAAGTACTCTGATAATATTGGTTTGTCTCGGTCGGCATTTTTGGTTGTAGCTTGTTTATTGATTCGTTAGCTTTGCCAAGGTTGTACTTTTCTGTCTAACGATACAGAGTTCAATATCACTTTCCTTTTAACACACACCCAACCAATAATGGCCTGTTATGGACCAGTTAAGCAATCCTCTTACCTACTACGTCTCTACACAACGAAAAGTGACCCCGCAGTCATGTAGCGAATTCATTCTCAATAGAACGTGTTCATTCTCAATAGCCTCAATGCGTAGGAATTTCTATATTAGGGCAGCAAATCTTTAGATGAACTTACAGAGACAAAAGCATCAAAAAAAAAAGATTTCAAACTCCTGCTCAGCGTGGTCCATTTATCGGGCCTCCTCGCTATCGTTGTTTTCACGGTCATTAAAAAAGCATACTTGTTACCGTCGCAACCAGCAGACACTGGGTTCGATGTCGGTTACGAACTGTTCCTCGTACGCGTACGTATCTCGTGCGAGGTTAGCGACCTGCATCGACCACTTGACGAACGATCGTCAACCAGACAGCTAAGCCAGCGCTATATTTTTAAAACCAATACAACCTCCGTTGTAAAATCGGTCATACTACCAGGACCGACCAATACCAGGACCAGTCTAAGCGTCATCCGGCCTCGCCTACCACTGCTAAGCACATGCGTCCCCGCCATGTAACAAATTTCCTGTCCCCCTTCTTTGTTCGAAAATAGAACAACAACGACAACGGGCACGCACCAACGCGAAGCAGCAGCAGCAGCCGCAACGGGAAGGATCATTTAAACGACGACGACGACGATGATGATGACGGCGGCGTGGCGATCATGATGATGATGATTGTGATTATGACGACGGCGCTACTGTTGCTGCTGACAGCGCTAAAGCTTGATACGCTACTAGCGCCTCGTGACGGTGGTGGTGATGGCAGGGGCGATTATGTTGATGCTGATGATCGTAGAGTGTAGTGATGACGGCGGCTACGAAGATGATGATTACTTTGGTAATTTCGCGTTTTCTGTCCCATTTCCGGCTCTCTCTCTCTCTCTCTCTCTCTCTGTCTCTATGCACCCGGTCTGGAAAAAACAGCAAGGTGCCTTTTTTGCTTTGCTGTACTCTTGTTGTGGCTGGCTGATTTCGAGTACTGTTGCTATTGCTATTTATGTCGCCGGTATATTTGACTGTAACTGTATGTGGGCACCTGCAGGCATAATATTGAATATGAGCATGATCATCATTATGAAGGTCAGGAGCGTATTTTTGTTACTACTATTTTTGTATGCGTATCAGTCTTGACAAAATGCTTCTATCTGAGGGTAACAACGAAGATCGACTGGCACAATCTGGCATTGCTACGATACATGTTATTGCTGAGTATATTAATATGTCTGTATGATGTTATACGAGTATTTATCTCTGTCTATGATCGATCGATACTGCTCGCGCACAGTCAGCCGGCCGACCGATGACAATCACAAGACTCTCTACTCTTTTAGTAGAACCATTCGTAGTAGCGTTCGTGTTCGTCATAGTAGAAGAAATAGCAATTGCATGTTGGCAAAGAAAGCGGTAACGATAAAACGAAACTTGTATCATCGCAGCTGGTGTTGTTTTTTCGCCGTATCTTTCACTCCGTCCGGTTGGGGGAACGGCAACTCGACAGAGCCCTTTTTATCTTCATCTCACAGCTTAGCGTTACTGGCAGCGGAAGAGAGAAGGCAGTGTGGAAAAGCGCACACAGGAGTAGGACGTTAAAAAGGTACCATCAGTAGTACTATAGCTAGCTATTACCGCCACGTCTGCTACTACGCAACGCCGACTAGGACAGAACCTTCGTAGCCGTTGTCATGGTGATGACAATAATGATGACAGTAATCAGCATCATCAGCATTTCCACTAGCGCCGCACCGTGTCGCCATCAGCGTCACACAATCATTAACGATAGCGGCTGTTATAACAGATGTAGCAAGAAAAGTAGGAGATCGCTGGTACGATCAGCATCTGATGTGGGTTGCTCATGATGATCTGCGGGCTGCTTGCTTGCCTGCCCCTGCCTCGTCCGCCACCACTATCGTCATCGGCCCCACTACCAGCGCACGGCAACGCTCCCCACATGCTAGCCAGCAGCAAGCAACCTGTCTAGACCTTCCTGGCTCGCTTAGTTTGACTGGATGGTGGCGACTAGCGCCTAGCGGATGGTTAGTTTGTGCAAAGCAGTGAGTTAACTTCGGCAACTACGATGAAAACGGTGGTGGTAGCGGTGGAGAGGCACTAGGGGGATCGGAATGACACAGATACTAATAGCGATGCCAACGCAGACGCCGATGGCCGTGTAGTGGCAGTGGCGACATTCTTTACTTATGCTTTCTGCTTCACTGTTAGCGAAGACAGAAGCGTCAGTAATGAAGTGTAACACTGCATCCAGCATCAGTGTGTCACACTATGGATGGAATCGACAGGGGGACACAAACGGTCGCTAACGTTTGCGACCCTGCACAGGGGGAAAGGGGCCGTTACTAAAGCCAAAGCAGAGCCATTATTATCAGAGCTGCGGCGGTCAGCGTCGTTTCAACGCGGTCCAGGCCAGTCCAGGCCGACTAAAACCGAACGGTGGCCAAACCAAACAGAGTGACGCCATTACCGCCACAACAATCAGCGCCACGACAACGATTATTGCTGCTCTTACGGCCAGCACCAACGGCACAGGCGTCGTCTGCGACAGTGATAGTGTCAAGGGGAGCGAATAGCAGTCACTAGCAGTTGTGGGGGCTCACCGGCTACTACCGAAGTTATCGTCGTTGTCAACAACAATAACGATAACGATGATGACAACTACAGAAGCTGACGTTCCCGTTCGAGCTCCCTGGCCTGATGGTGGCTGGCATCGTTGTGGAGCCAGCGATACTGGTCGTGTTAGCAGTTGTGGTAGGGATCGTTTTAGTCGCGTTTCGCCGCTGTTGTTACACAGATGTCGTTATTCTTGTTGCACGTTTTGCCGTGAGAGCTGCTACTGGTGCAGCTGTCGAGATAATTCCGCAGAGACATAGCCTCAGAGTAGTAGAGCTGTACAGCTGCGCAGTAACGCAGTCAGTCGTAATCATCCATTGCTACTCCTGTTCGTTGAAGCTGCAATGGCAACAAAAGAAGCGAGGCAAACGCAAAGCGAAACGCACAAAATCCTGCGACTCCTGTTACAACAGCGTCGTTGCCGCTTAGTCGCTTGGCCGCTCCGTTGGTTAACGCCGCCGACGACGACGACGACAGTGGCGACGACGACGACGATAACAACAACAACAACAGCAGCATTGGCTGATTGCCCGATGCTATCCATAGAGCTGCCATTGTCGCTGATTGTGATGCTGATGATGATCATCATCATTACGCAGACGCTGACGACGGCTGTGATGTTCATTGGGTAGCGACTGATGATGATGACTCTGCAACGGCGGCAATGGTGATAGCCGCAGCAGTAGCGGCGGTTTCCTTGAACACCCTTACACACAGGGAGCAGCAGCTGGCGAGGAGCAGGGGGCGGGGACCATTCTGATGATGGTAGAGCGATCGTTATTGTCGTCGTTCTGATGGTGCTGATAGTAGTACGGGCGTTGGTTGGCCTTAGTAATAGCAGCCGCAAGAGCAATGATCGCGGCGATAGTCTGCAGTGGAGGAGGGACGGCTGAAATGGTATGGAGGAGCGTAGACTAGAATCGGTAGTGCCGACAGACGCTTTCACGAGCAGCATAGTGGCGACAAAAATAAATAAACAAACAGACAAAGAAATAGTGAGTGAAAGAAAACTTATTTCGGGATCGTAGCGTCACAGAGTAGGATCATTGAGTATTATTGATATGGTTATTACTATTATAAGAAGTCATTGCTTCTTACGGTTTAACGCTGTTGCTCGTGGGCCATTCAAAACATTCGGCGCGTTACCAATACGCATTTTTGTGTCTACTTTAGTAGGTTTTGTTTAGATTGTACCTACAATCTACTAATCACGATAGATGCTGTATGCTCTATTTTAGCTGGTCTCATTATTTTTATTTAAGCTCAAAAAAAGTTTGATAATAAAAAAATACTCGTTTAAGCCTGACACAAGTTGTCCATTCTTGATCCCGGTTTACCCTTTCGACGGCCAAAAAAATATATTACCCTTAAGGAAATTAACTGCAAAATTTCAAGTTGTGGATGGTTTCGAACGTTTAATTTCTAGCAATAGACCACATCAATATAACCGCTATCCGGATTGTTTGATCATTTCCCGACAGGGAGAGCAGCTTCTCCGTTTTTACCAATATTCCAGCTCCCTGTCCAGTTGTGGTTGTCTTCGTTACTATCAGCGAATCGAGTACAACTATCGTATTCCATCTCGTTCTGTGGTCATGTGTCGCTGCATCTTTCTTGACATTCTGTGGTCATGTGGCCCTGCATCTTTCTTGACAATGTCCCTATTCGGTTTTGCCTCTGTTGTCCAGCCGCTCGTTTATTCGCTGTCTACGACTATCCAAGCAAAGCATTTGCCCACTACGGTATCTGTATTATGATCATCATTATCATCATCGCCCACTTGTCATCTGGTCCCTCAGGCCCCTGTAATCA